AATTTTTTGTTTGTTTCAAAAATATAATAATAGCAACTTTAACAGTAAAGAGATGCTGATTTCAATAAGTACAATGTTTAGCCCATATTTAATTAATTAGCGTTTTTACACTACAACTACAACTATAACATAGTTAATTAATTAATTAGTGTGTTTCGCACAAAATTTTGTTTGTTTGAAAAATATAATAATAGCAACTTTAACAGTAAAGAGATGCTGATTTCAATAACTACAACGTTTAGCCCATATTCATTCAATTAGTGTGTTTCACACAAAACTTGTTTGTTTGTTTCAAAAATATAATAATAGCAACTTTAACAGTGAAGAGATGCTGATTTCAATAACTATGACGTTTCGCCCATAGTTAATTAATTAGTGTGTTTCACACAAAAAATTCTTTGTTTGTTTTATTTTTGGATATTCGCGCTAAGCTACTTAAGGGCTATCTGCGTTCATCGTCCCTAATTTTGAAATGATAGATTAGAGAGAGGACAGCTAGTTAACAACGCCCACCGCCAACTGTTGGGCTTCTCTTCGTTTGATCGAATAGCTGGATTCGACCGTCATCCTTATACCGTTCCCATGGTACCAAAGTGCAGAAAACGATTAATATTATTTGTGGAAACGGGATGCTAACATGGGGCCAACAGGTCCATAGTCCGTCATGCTAACTGCTGTGCCAAACTCGGACATCAGGTAAAGCCGTCCCTAATAATGAATTACTGATATAAAGAAAGGAAGCAAGCCAGAAGCATTCGCCGTCACAAGGGCTTTATACGGCTCTTTGATTCGAATAAAAGGACTGACTATTACTTTTATAACGCGCCTACAGCTCAAAGTGTAGAGTGTGTTTAGTGGCATCACGCCCCGGCATTTGGAACCTTCGATCTGCGGCCACCCTTCAAAATATAGAAAAAACAAAACAAAATTCAAACGCTAAAATTTCAATTACTTTAACATTTTCTCACCGATCACGATTTTACTTAAACTGTCTTAGTAACAGGTACTGCAATTCAGGGAAGCCCAACAACGCAGCGAAATCACTCATTCACTGCTACAACACGTGAAAAATTTCAAAATCGGTTCTGCAAACTTTTATAATTAGCTTGTTATTAGCTAAGCGCAATAAACACACAACGGACCATTCGTGCCGCGCTCACAGCAGGAATCAAACGTGTCGCTAAAGTTTCGTCGGAACGAAGTTACGGAAAGTTAATTAACAAACGGAGACGTAAAACTACAAATAGGTTCTTTCCTTATACTTGTAAACATAAATAATGTGACATTTACTTTGTATTTGTAAGTAACACTTGAAGAAAAATTTTCATTTTACATCAGGTGAAGAGAGTAGAGAAATGTTTTAGTATTCTTCTTTTTCTCTCTTTCTTTTTTTAATTATTACAAAAGTACTTTTATTTTTTTTAAGTGAGCTTTTCAAACGTCGCAGTTAATTGTTTGAATGAAACGAATACGTCTATTTCTGCTTACGTCACCCCCGGACTTCAAACTGCGTCACTATATTATCAAACTCTGCGTCCACTCAGCACCAAGCAAAACAACATGGGAGAATTCGGGCAGCCTAAGTAGTGCAGAAAGCACAGAGAGTTCGTGTAAACTAATTCTGTATTATGAGTGTCATATATATATATATATTTACAACGCCAAAAATCTGGGGTTCCATTCCCCGCGGTGAACACGGCAGATAGCCTAATGTGGCTCTGCTCTAAAACAAAGAAACAAACCAAAACCATATATATATATATATCTGAACATGCTTCTGTCGTACAGAAATACATCCTGCGGATCTACACTTCGAATACAGCGGGTGATAACAGTGCTTTAGAAATATAGGAAACTACAGACTACGTAATTTAAAATAAATCTACGGAGAAAAATGTTTGTTTCCTTCAAATCTTATCCCCCCCGGTGGCTCAGCGGTAAGATTGAGGGCTCATGACGCAAACATTCAAACGAAACAAAACTGATTTTGGCATAATATTAGTTAATTATTCAGTTTCGGGTTTTAATACAAACTTGTGACAATGTTTCTTTAGATCATTTGAATCTATAAAGATAGCAGCCAATCCTGGACTAGTTCAGGTCTAGTTCTTAACATAACTGCATAATTATATACAACACATGGGAACGTAAGAAAGTTATGTTGAAACTTGTAACTTTAAACCAAAACTCTTCAGTGTATGGTGTTTATAGGATTGTTTTCCAGTCGGTTACTACTGTTGCGTCAGCAGGGTCACGTGACTAGTGTCACGCCCCTTCTCTCGAACCTTCGGGAGATTACTAGATATAGGGTAGTCTGGTATATATATAAGAGGGTGACAACGTGACCGAATAATGTGTGAGTAGACAGTAAGTAATTGATCTGCAGTCAGAGAGTATTGTTGAAGTTAACGTTCGTTGTTATAGCGTTTGTTTTAGCGCGATTGTTGAAATTAAATGTATCGTAAAGTTATATTAGGAAAGAATAAACCAGCAAGGACTTCCACCGGTCCATCCCTTGCCCAAGCAGAAATCAATTTCTGAAGACGATGAAGAACCATATTAGCCAGAAATATAACTACAATGAGTAGACATATTTGGCAAGATAAAAATATTACTGGTCGAAAGCCATAAGTTTTCAGACCTTTTTCTAAAAACTTCTATCATCGGATCCACAAGGTCCACTATTTCTATTACTCCAAATTGTAATGTTTTAAAGCAGTATTTATGAAATTAAAATTTCAAGGTATATGTTGAAGATGTGTTTCCCTATGTATCACTTTCACAGGACACAAAGGATATCGAATATTTAAAAAAAAAAGTCACGTATTTTTACTAGGAGTTGCCTTTAGTATTTAGATCCCTTGTTAGCTTTCTGAAATCTAATTTCATGATTTTTCTATAATTCATCTTTCATCTTATAGGGTATTCTAATAGTAACATTATTTTGTCTCTACACTACGGTACCTTTAGATTTTTTTACTGTAAAAAAAAAGGAAATTCCAGGAACGTAAAAACGGTTTGTCATGTATGCTTTCATGGAACGAACTGAACTTTGAAAGGTGCTAGGGCGTGGTCATGGGCGTCACTACATGAAGTGTTGGCAGGATTACGATTTGTTTTCCCTCTCTCCATCGTCATGCAGTATATTTAAGTTTGAAGTTATAAGTATGCAAGTAACTGAAAGTCAAGAGTCAGGATTTACAATACTAAAAGTGAGACGTCACATATATTCATATGTTATATTTCATAGATGTCGGGTCTTAGTAATATTGTTGAGACCATTTGAAAACGGTTTCTTATTTTATACGTTTAGCATGTCACGTCTATGGAAAATTAGTAATGCAAAATGTATTGAAATTCATTTTGCCGGGCGTGGCCCATAGATTAACTTACTCGAGCTGTAAATCCGAGAGTTCATGGTCTGTTGCCGTTAAAACGCGCTCCGCACTTTGGGACCGGGGATGCGTTATAAAAGTGACGGTTAATTCCACTATTCGGACAGCTATGCGTACCCCAAGAGTGGGCGGTGGGTGCTGTTGACTAGTAGCTGCCTTCCCTCTAGTTTATCAGTTCAACTTTAGGGACGAATTAGTGCAAATAGTCCTTATTTAGATTTGGGCAAACATCCTAAACAAGAACTCGCCAATCTCCCGCAAAAAACACGCACACACAAAAAGGTTGGTAAGTGATACGTGCATTTGTAAATGTATCCTTTATTTTTTGGCTAGTTTGTTCTTAAGTGGACATCTGCACATTGAGCGATGTGCCCACCGCAAGTGATCGAAACTTGAACTTGAAACTGAACCGCTATTTTGTTTTTCGTTATCCTGTGGTTCGTATTGGTTTTATGGTTCAATGAATTTAAAAATTACGACTGAAATCGACGTCGTGTTTTATTCTTCAACAAGTTTGTTTTTCAGAATTTTTGTTTTCATTTTTGAATGTCTATCGTTTGAGAAGACAACGAATGCTAATTACCAAACTTTGTGAAACATGGCGAATTTAATTGTGAATTTATGACTGACTTCATATTACAAATATCTTGTTTGTTTTTTCTAAACAAGATCGCCAGAAGGAACTCTTCTCACTATTAACTTAAACTGCTAAAAAAATGACTCACTATTTGAAACTTTTCGCATCAATAAAATGAAGCGCGTAAAAAAGAATTTATATCCAACCTTACATTTATCCGACAATTTTTTTTTAAACTGGTACTCCTCCCTCCTTTCTCAGTGTGGTTTAGTGGTAAGCTTGTGAGCTTAATTCCTGCGGTGGGCACAGAGCTTGTAGCCCGTAGCATGTAGCTTTGTGCTTAAAAACAATAAACGTACCTTGATATACTTGATAAAAAAATTTTTAATTTGGCTGTTTTTGAGAAAAATTAAAATGTGATATATTTTTCTTTTTTTTTTCTTTTTTTGTCTTCACTGTGTACGTTTGGTCTATTTTATTGTTTTGGTTATTGTTCAGATGGAATCCTGTGTTTTGCTCACCAAGATTATCGAAACCCGATTTTTTATCTTCGTAAGCCTGCAGATTTACCGCTGAGCCAATGGGGGGCTGGTCTATTTGAAAACAGCAGTCATGGTCATAAGCTCATGCCTCTAACAGTGACGTCAAAGCCAAGTCCACGTGATTTCTCTGACTAATATCTAACTCGGCCGCTGTGGTGAACGAAGACAGAACGTTTTAGATTGAATGTTGCAGAAAACGTAATCGTTGTGCTTCATTCTGAAGCTAATGATATTAGTGAAATTTGGAATTCAGTTATTAATCAGAGGAAGTGAAGAAGCGGATATCAAAACCAAAACCTTCGTTTTACAGTAAACTATAGGTTGATTGAATTTAAACTGTGGAAAAACATGCCAGTCCTTACACAAGAGTTCCTTAACAGCTTGCTAAATCCACGACAGCTGACTAACTGCTCCCCAAGAAGCACGCCCGATTTACGAACTCTGGACGACCAAGATAAAAGGGGGACATTTCTGGTCCCCACTATTTCCTTGACGAGGGATAAGGACAATGAACCGTCTGACACCTTAGATCAACAATCTCCTATGCCGAAAGGGAGTCTGCCTCAGGCCAATAATATATGTAAAGGTATGAATAGGTCCCAGTCCTTACGGAACCGCAAGAGGCCTGAATCGGCTGTTTCGTCGAGTAGTTTCCGGCAGAGGATCGCTAGCACTTCCGGAAAATGTATCTTGTTTCCTAACAGTTTAACCCCCTTCCGGTCATCGTCCAATCATTCACTTCAATTGGCAGGCGATGAAGATGACTTCCAGCGACTCCGAAATTTCTCGGTGACTTCTAAGGGGATTGTCAATCGAGGGGACTCTTTTCGTTCCAGGTCTCGCAGCATGCATAGTGTCTCGTCCTTAGGGTCAGAGTATTTTATCGCTATAACTCCTCCCAGATCCCCCAGTATTCAATTCCCTCCTCAAGAACCTTCAGAAATCCCCCCTGTAGTCGTCACAGATACGGAAAGATTCAGGGTGTTAGTCGTGGGGGCATCAGAAGTTGGAAAGTCGTCTCTAACAACCCAGTTTACAACCTCCGAGTACATCTGTGCTTATGATATTTCTCATGGTAAGAGTTAAGAAATATGGTGAGATTCGAACTCATACCCCAAGTCAAACTAAACAAGATCTTATAATTCGGTTAATTAGATGACTTGTTCGGTTTGCAGGACTATGGGTTCGAATCTGATTCGGTTAGTGTTTTCTTCTCCATAATATTCCATAATCATTCTGTGAATTTATATGTATATACATAGGAATAATGAAACGTGTGAATAACGATTACATATTTCCATTTTAAATGGCCGGAGTCATAATTCCCAACCAGTTTCGACAAAACGCGTTTCACTCTGTGGGGACGTCCATGTGACAGTCAAATCCCACTATTCAACGGAAGTAGACCAGGCTGCTAAATGGTTTAAGCAGATTTAAAAGTAAAAACTATAATACATGGAATTGAAAGACGGTTTACAGCTGGATATATTGCTTACGGGGACAAAAACCCTTTTAAAACTTAGAACAAATCTTCAGAGAAAATCGCTGGATGTTTCCTTGCACGTTTTAGAACAAAACAACATTAGGCTATCTGCTATATCCACCGCGGGAGGAATCGAACCCCGGATTCTAGTGTTGCAAGTCCTTAACTTACCGCTGTCCCATAAACGGACATCGTTGAATGAAAAATATTGTGTAACTACATTATGAAAGTAGACCATAATCTTGATTTTCTCTCCTTACAATAAGACTTATTTCCACATTATGAAAGTAGACCATAATCTTGATTTTCTCTCCTTACAATAAGACTTATTTCCACATTATGAAAGTAGACCATAATCTTGATTTTCTCTCCTTACAATAAGACGTATTTCCACATTATAAAAGTAGACCATAATCTTGATTTTCTCTCCTTACAATAAGACGTATTTCCA